AGAATGATTCCTGGTCTTAGAGGAATGGCTTATGAGGAGAGGTTAGATGAGCTGAATCTGTTTAGCCTCGAGCAAAGGAGACTAAGGGGAGGACATAATCCAGTTATATCAGATTCTAACAGGTCTGGATTCTGTTCAGCCAAATGACTACTTCAAAATTAGTTTAAATACTAGAACTCCTAGCCATAGATGGAAATTAGCAGGAGAACATTTTAAACTGAATTTGAGAAAACACTTCTTTACACAGTGTGTAGTTAGAGTATGGAATAGTCTGTCTGTTAGTGTAGTATAAGCTAAAACCCTGGGTTCCTGGGTTCCTTTAAATCAGAGCTAGATAAGATTTTAACAACTCTGAGGTATTACTTAAGTTCTCCCCAAACAAGCCGAATGGTCTCCTCTTGTTTGTAAATTTATGTGACGTAATGCCTTGTGTGACTCTTTGAGTTTGGGCTGAATATGAGCAGGACAGTCCTGCCCTCCCCCACATGCACATCTTTGAGGTTCATGGGTAAGTCACAATGGGGGGGGGAGCTGATGCCCAGGTGTAAGTCACAATGGGGGGGGGAGCTGATGCCCAGGTGTACTCACGCTGACTTTGTCTGCTCCACATATGGGACGCGCTTCCTGCATCGCGATGAGGACAAACGCCGTCAGCGATGCATCAGCGTCTTTCCCTCGCACGTTTCCCTGTGAATCAGATACACTGTGACCGATACAAAACAGACTCCTCCAAACTCCTCTAAAAGCTAATGTGCTGCATGGAGGTTCAGTAGGTTCTTCACATGATGACTCCTGTCTGCACAGTGAGTTGTTATCAAACAAGTCAAACATAAACATACTCAATTTCAAATGTCCTTACAAGAAGATTCCCTAATAGCACATCATCTGCCCAACATGCAGTACATAAGTTACGTCTAATCAATGTAATACTCAACTCATCTGGTAATTGGCAACTTATCTATGCGCATCTTGCGCAGACGACTTGTCAATTAATAAATGAGTATTACATTATTTAGACATAATTTGTGTATGTCGAGCAGATAGTTGTATGTGTGCTATGTGGGTCTGTGTTTTGAGAAAATGTTTTTCTTGCTCCTAATGTATCTTTGGTCAGATGGCTCCTCATCACATACCACCATCTCTCCGTGGTAGACTGGGGCATGCTCTTTGAAGGTGCCGTCAGGCTCTTGTGCGTTCAAGATCAGCCACTTTGTGGCGCTGCAGATCACGTTCTCCTCAATGCTGATGAGAGGGTACGCCATGGCGAACACCTTGGTCACATATGCTGTCAGCCTGGGGGGCGGGATGATGCAGAGTATTGAGTTTAATGGAGTTCTGGTCAAGGATGGAACGGCCTGATAGTGCAATCAGTCACTGCTCACCAGGTGCTGCTTCGTGTATGTTTCCAAACACTGTATGATCCGTCTTCCTTGCGATACGTCAACTCCTGCATGTAACCTGAGCACAATGAAATGATTAGACTATTGGATCTGATGTCTCTTAGTGTGTCTCAGTACCAGAAATCCATACAAGTTTATCAATGTTCAAGAGAAACAGACTGAGGTCTGCTTAGGGTGATGTAGTTCAGGAGCGTGAAGCCTGTGTTTGACACACCTGTGCGGATGTATTTGATGGCCGTCTCTCGCTTATCCACTCCCACCCTCTCCCACTGGCCTGTGCTGTCCAGGTAGAGCGTGGCGATGACTGGTCCTGTGAGGCCAATCATGTTCTGCTCCCCGCAGCCTGATGGCTGCTGGATGAGGTTCCCAAGCGTTGAGCCGCTGATGACCTGGTAGATGGTCTGGCCAATCTGCTCACCTGAGCGAGTGATGCAGCATGTGAAGCTGGGGCCCTGTTATATTGAGTCTGACACCACATGGTATCACCCAGCTAAATGTAACTGGACAGTATAATGCCACACAACCTTCAGGAAACATCTTAAGGCTCATCTCAACCTGAAGCATATCAACTAACCTCATCCTATCGCTGCTTCACTGATAGTTCTATTAGTTTCCCTTGGCAATACTGGATGCTTTCTTTTTATATTTTGCACTTGAGTTTGTAGGAATTGTCTCCTTGATGTTATTTGAATAGCTTCTAATAGTTTTAGCAGTGCTGGTATGGTTCCTGCTCCAACACCATCTTCACTTTGTTCTTGGTTATTCACCGGAAGCTTTGCCCTATCAGCCATTACACCAGATCTGGCTCCTTGACAGCTTTATGCTTGTGATATATTGTCTACCTTGCTTTGGACTAAATCATCTGCAAAAGATACTTGTAAATGTAATATAACTTCTACTCAATTGGCAGCCATATAGCAGCAAAAAAAAATATGTGAACCCTTTAGAATGACTTGGTTTTCTGCATTAATTAGTCATAAAATGACAACTCTTGAGTGTAGGCATTCCGAGATGTTATTGAGTGTAGGCATACCGAGATGTTACTGAGTGTAGGCATACCGAGATGTTATTGAGTGTAGGCATACCGAGATGTTACTGAGTCTAGGCATACCGAGATGTTATTGAGTGTAGGCATGTCTAGATGTTATTGAGTGTAGGC